TTTACTTTCAGTCTGTGTGTGTCTTTAGTTTGAAATGGGTCTCTTATAGACAGCATATGTATGGGTTTTGTTTTCTTATTCATTCAGCTATCATATGTCTTGTGATTGGAGCATTCAGTCCGTTTACATTTAAAATGCTTATTGATAGATACATAGTTATTGCCATTTTGGTAATTATTTTCTGATTGTTTTTGTAGTTCTCTCTTCCTTTTTTATTCTTTTGCTCTATTCTCTTGTATATTGATGACTTTCCACAGTACTGTTTTTGGATTCCTTTCTCTTTATTTCTGGTATATATCTCTTATAGGTTTTTGGTTTAAGCTACCACGTGTTTCATATATATCAAGCTATGTTTATAGAAGTTTATTTTAAGTTGATGATAGCTTAAGTTCAGATAAATTCTAAAATCACTACAATTTTTTTATTTTCTCCTTTTACTTTTATGTTTTTTTATCATTCTTTTTCACTTCGTGTGTGTGTGTGTGTGTGTTTGTGAGCATCTCTTAATTTATTGTTGTAATTACACATGCTCTTCCTACTTTTGCCTCTTAACCTTTGTTCTAGCTTTATAGTTGTTTGGCCCACCGCTTATTTTAAGTGTCTGCCTTTGTCAGTGAGAATTTTTTTCTCTCCTGTATTCTCTTATTCATATTTTTGATATTTTCTTTTCTTCTTAAAGAAGTCCCTTTAACATTTTTTGTAATACTGGTTTATTTAGCTTTTTCTTGTCTAGGAAACTCTTTATCTCTCCTTCAGTTCTAAGTGATAGCCTTGCTAGGTAAAGTAATCTTGGTAGTATGTTCTTACTTTTCATCCTTTGTATGTTCTACGCCATTCTCATTTGGCCTGAAAAGTTTCTGTGGAAAAATCAGCTGATCGTCTTATGAGAACTCTCTTAATATATAAATAACTATTTTTCTCTTACTACTTTTAAGATTCTCTTTTTGTTTTTAAACTTTGGCCTTTAATTATGATGTGTCTTGATGTGGGCTTCTTTGAATTCATCTTGTTTGGGACTCTGCATTTCCTGGACTTGAATGTCTATTACTTTTACCAAGTTAAAGAAGTTTTCAGTCACTATTTCTTCAAATAGTTTTTCATTCCCTTTAGCTTTCTCTTTTCTTCTTCTGGTACTCTCATGATATGAATATTGGTATGTTTGATGTTGTCTCAGTGATCCTTTAACCCACCCTCATTTTTTAAAAATAATTATTTTTTTGCTGTTCTGGTTGGTATTTTCTTCTACTGTGTTTTCTTCATTGTTTGCTTTTTAAACCTAAGTATTAGTTATAGGTTTTTTTAAAAAATGCATGATCGATTGGTACCGTTAAAATCTTATAATATGATTATTTTTTATGGTGGCCATATTGCAGCAAATAATATGGTTATCAGTCAATGAGAGGAAGGAATTATAGCAGCTGGTCTGCTATCCATTCAGCTCTTTCACCAGGAGGACATCTCTTGGGATAAAGGGGTAAAGGTTTCATGAATGTAGACTTATTTCCTGTTAACCTAAAAATAAAAGTCCAAAATGAGAGGCAACAAGCATTTATTTGAGATCCAAAAAATAACTATCAGGAAGCACTGATTCAGACAGAAACCCAAATAATGTTCCCATTAGGAGGTGAAGGCAAGGGATATTTATGAGAAAGGGAAAGGGAACAGCTTCATAAATAGAAGGAAGGCATTTATTAGGTGCAGATAAACTAACATAGTGATGTTAATTTGGGATACAGTGTTGATTTAGGTCCAGTCCAAAGGTTATTTTGCCCAGTTTTGACATTTCAAAAGCTTTAGGAATAAGACAAGCAAGGCAGTTCCTCTGGGATGGCAGGTCCCACTCCATTAAAAAGACTCTGTTTATATTACTTTTTACGCTCCAAACATTAAGTTGTACACATTAAATATGTGCAACTTTTGTTTGCCAATTATACCTCAATAAGTGATTTTTTAACATAAAAAGTAAAATGGTTTAGATGTACATAGCATATTGAAATGGGTATCTCCAACATTTTTAAGCTCTGACTCTGTGCCAGCAATATGCTTATTGCTTTTTCTACACTATTGCATTGAGTCTTCACAACCATTTATAGTTTTGCTGAGGTTAGAGATAATCTAATAACCTCAAAACAATATGACTAATAAGTGGTTGAACAGAGACTGCAACCGGAAACTAAACTTGGAACCAAATTCTTAAAAAGTCTCTTTCCCCAACACCTTGTAATTGAAAACTTTATTTTAAATTTTACTTTAAAATGTTACAGAAAATATGTTAAGTAATAGATTTTTAAAATTCAGATAAATTCCAGAGGTAATTTTTTTTTATATACCTAAATCCCATTAGTTTTGAATTTAAGAATAAGATTTTACTCTAACTATATTATAGGTCAAAATAAACTGGTTTCATTTTACATTATTGAGAGGAGTCTCATAACATTATCAATTGTTTACCTAAAAGGAAAGCAAAGTTATCTCCTGAACAGCAGACATCTTTTCCTTCTTTGTCCTCCCTATGCAAAGGCTCCAGAATACGTACTTCTGTTTTCTACCTCAGCCTTCTTGTCAACATTCCCCTTGTCCTTTCTTTCTCTCGGTTTTATGATTTAGGTCCCTAATGCTTTCTGATATGACTTAATTTTACAAAATATGATGTAACATGATAGGACATGATTCTATGTAATGTTTATTTAATTAAAAAAATAAATGTTGATTGAACATACAATTTCAGAGTCTCCATTGTTTCTTCCTAGGGGAAAAAAAAATACCCATATTGAGCAAGTTTTTATAAAGTGTCAAAGTGATTAAGAAAAATAAAACTTGGTTGTGTATCCCCAATTGTTCTTCTGATAAAAATTTTGTCCACAAAAAAGCAAGTTAGGACTATATTGCTATAATGAAATAGTTTCTTGTTTCCTCAGACTCATGCTATAACATTTAGAGGCAGAGTAGGATAGTGGCTAAGCAAATACTCTTGGCAAACAAACTGCTTGGATTTAAATTCTGACTCTGCCACCACTAGCTGCCCTGACTTTGGCAGGTTATTTCTTCTCTCTGTGCTTCAAACTCCTGCTTTGGAAAACTGGGCATAATCATACTTACTTCATTTTGAGAAGATTAAATACGTTAATGTATGTAAAGAACTTAAAGCAGGACTTAGAACCAGTGCCTAACACATGTTTGGTTCTATGTAAGTATTGTTACAATGACTGCCATCATCAAAATAAAATCAGGTCTACAGAAAAGTAAATTCTAGGGCTGGCAGATTTTTAAATTATTTACAACGGTCTTGAAATTCTTTTTCCTTTTTTGTGTGTTCTTAATACCTAGTTTATTTTGTATCTGTGCACATTACTGTGGCTTTGTTTTTCTTAGTTTTTGTTTTTATCATTTGAATGTATAGTAACACATTGTATTAGTCAGCCTGTGCTCTTGCTGTAGGACTGACTTAGAGAGGAACTTACCCTCTTGAGTCTAAGTCTTCATCTTTTAAGATTTTTTTTCATATTATGAGTAAGAAAGAGGTGCGATAGGGTAAGCAGAGAGTCACATTTTCTGCACAGGTCACAGCCTACTCCATACTAGGCAGTAGGATATTCTAAAAGTGTTCCGTTCTGGGCAAATATTAAACCAAAAAACAAAGCACACAAACCTGGACCTGAAATCTACTCATCGCTTTCTAACTGTATAAACTTGCTCAATATCCTTACCCCTTCTTAAACTTATTTTCATTATGTATAAAATAAACAGAACACATATCTAAGAGAAATGTTTTAAAACTTAAAAAAGATGTAAAAATCTTACTACGTGTCTTATTATAAAGTTTCAGTTATATTGTAATTAATATTAAGAGCACAATGATATATCATTATTTTTTAACATAAAAGTAGAACAGTGTGCAAAAGTAATGTAGAATTCTAGGAGCTTTGTGTTGTTTTAAAAAGTTTGAAAACATATATTTATTTAGACACTCATGCACATTTGTTTTTATTTTCATTTTGTTATGTTGATAATAAATTGGTACCCTCTGGCTCGAAAAAAAACCCACAACTTTTTTCTTAAAATGAAAGAGGAAAAGCCTAAGATAGCCTGCAGTGGGGAATCCTAGAATATTATGGTCTCATAAGTGGTCATGGATGATAAATTCATGAGTATTCCAAAGATCTTGAAATAGGGTTTTGTTATTTTTCTAGACCTGCATTAGGCAATATAAAAATAAATGTTAACTGAATAAAAAGTTTATACATAAAAAGTAATCATTTCTACCAGGTATTGATATGTGAGACTACCCAATCTGGGAAGACAGGAATCATGAAGACGTAGTGGGGAAGAGAGTGTTTTACTCTAAGATTCAGGATCCCATCATCATGAAAAGGAGTAAAGAATTATAGTTCATCTTTTAAAGTCCCCAGATTATTGTATCCATATTAAACTGAAATTAACATAAACAAATACAAAACACACCAGTGAATAAATTTATTCAGTGAGTTGTTTTTCATGAATAATCTATATTTAGCAGCTACACTGAAGAATGATCTGTGAAAGTGTTGAATTAAGTGCTTTCTTTTGAGCAGCCATGCCATTTTATACTTTATATAAAAGTAACACCAATCATAGAATTGTCTTTATGTGCTGTCATTTACCTAGTACAGTGTGAAATGTGTCCCTATCTAGGTATATCATATGTTCTATATATAAATAGATCTATTATATTTGTGGTATAGAGATATATACTTATTACTCCAAAATTGGCATCTGAATAATACTATTTTAAGGGGAAGAGATACAGCATATTTACCACTTATAAGTAAATGTCATTGCTCAATGTCCTCAAAGCCTATATCTTAAAAAGTTTTAAATAAAAAAATTAAAAGTAGGAAATAAAAGCAAAAAGAAAAAGCACACATTGGAGGAAGAGACTATTATAATCAGTAAGGTTCATTCTGTGGCTTTTTATTATCATCATTACTCTTTAATTAAAGTCACTTGATCGACCCTTCCCACTGGTCAGAATGATTTGCTTTAACATCACAATGATTCTGTTTGTAATTTTCTAGACACAAGGCTATGTGGTTACAGTCCTGTAAGTTTACTTCATTTCTAAGAAAAGAACATTTCTTATGACTGCAGAAACCTGGCCAGGCTTCAGATACCGACTCTTCAGTTTTGACATAGCTGACTTTACTTCTTTATTCCTTAGAGTATAGATAACTGGGTTTAAAATGGGAGTAAAGATGGTATAGAACACTGCAAGGATTTTGTCAACTGAATAGCTGCTGAAGGGCCACACATAGATAAAGATGCATGGTCCAAAGAACAGTGTGACCACAGTGATATGAGCAGTCAATGTGGAGCGGGCCTTTGCCATGCTAGCAGAAGAGCGATTCCTGACTGTAATTAGTATCACAGTGTAGGAGACAACCAAGAGGAGGAAGGAACTCATAGAAAGAAAGCCACTGTCTGCAACTATTAGTAAACTGACAACATAAGTGTCTATGCAGGCCAACTTGGTCACTAGAGGGAGGTCACAGAAAAAACTATCTACCTGATTAGGACCACAAAAAGGCAAGTTAACAGTAAATGCCAACTGGCTAGTAGTATGGATGAAGCCCACAAACCAAGAGAAAAGAACAAGAGCAATACATACACGGCGGCTCATGATTGTCATGTAGTGAAGAGGTTTGCATATAGCAACATAACGGTCATAAGCCATGGATACAAGGATCACCATTTCACTGCCAGTGAAAAGGTGAACAAAAAAAATTTGGGCCAGGCAGGCATCAAAAGAAATTACCTTGCGCTCAACCAAGAAGTCTGCAATCATTTTGGGAGTAGCAAAAGAGGCGACACATATATCAATAAAAGAGAGGTTTGCAAGCAGAAAGTACATGGGGGTATGAAGGCGGGAATCTGAGGTCACAGTGAGGATGATGAGGAAGTTGCCCAGTAGTATTGCTAGGTAAAGTAGAGAAAATATGAGAAATAAGAAAGGTTGGAGCTCCTGGGAATTAGAGAGTCCCAGCAACACAAATTCGGTCACCCAGGAAAGATTTGTCTCATTCATTGACTTTGGAAGAAACTTATCTTCAGTCACCTGAATAGGAGAGAAAAAGAAATCAATGAACTGACCATGAGTTTAATTTCCCCATTCCACTTTGATCCGTAAGGATTCAAATTTCTACTTATATTTATGTATCTGAGTTTTCATATATCCTTAAAATTTACATAAATAACATAATGCTACTAAATAATGGAGGGGAGAGTTGCCAAGGTGTTCAACCAATTGTTATATGCAATTACATGAATTTAATAATGTAATCGACAAATTTATAAACGGAATTGAATATCTGAAATGTTTTCTTTGACATGACAGAAATTCAGTCTAAGAATCCACAAAGACAAAATATAAATCATTTTTTCTACAGTAAATGATGATAAATTTTTTTTGAACGACTAACAGAGGAAGATGATTTTACAAACTTATTATTGACCAAAAAAGTTAGACGCAAAAGAGCATATACTGTATGAAACCTATTTAAATAAAGTTAAAAAATAGGCTAATCTATGATGTTAAAAAAGCTGCAATAGTGGTTATCTTAAAGAGGAATGGGAATAGAAAGGAGACAGGAAGGCGTTTTTGAAATCTTGGTAATGCAGTTTCTTGATGTGATTGATACTTACATAAGAGTGTTCACGTTCTGAAAACTTATCAAGAAGCATACTTTTTCTCTGTGTGCTTTTGTGTATATGTTATATACTTATAAAAATTAAAATGGAAGATAAAGAGACAGCATTACATTGTGTGAGAGAGCTCATAGAAGGAATCACTGCTTTGAGTAATTAGCACTTTTTTAATTAAATGTATCAGGGTGACATTGGTTAATAAAATTACATAGGTTTCAAGTGTATAATTCAATAATACATCATTTGTATATTATATTGTGTTTTCACCACCCAAAGTCAAATCTTATCCCCTTCTCTACCCAGTCACAAATTATATAAACTAAAATACAAAATCAGAGCAAATCTGAAAAGTCCAGAGCTTAAGCTTACTGAAACTCTTCCTAGAACTGTGACTTGGCTCTTCATGGAATTCTAGCATGTAAAAGAACTTAGTGCATTTGTTCCTTTCAATTATTTCCTGAAGATATTAAGCTTCTTTAAACTCAGTCATTGGTATTAATAACCATAGACATTTTTATTGAATTATGATTGATATTTTATTTGATTGGGTGGGGCTTTTAAAAATTATAGTTATATTGGGCATAGTAAGGAATTCAGACCACAAGAAGAAAATATTTTTTCTTTACTATTCAGTTATCTACATTCTATTGTATCAGACCTTTTTCCTTTTTATGTTATTTTTACCTTTATAAGCTACCTATAACTTAAAAAAGTATATGGTGAATAAGAAAAATGAAAGGTGAACTATAAAGAAGCACGTGCTTTTGAAGAATCTTTATCTAGGTCTAAATCAGGTCTTAGGAGAGAGTGTCTTTTATTTAACTGATTTCCAGTCATCTGCAGTTTTTGATATTAATGTCTTTTTAAATCATAACTTACAAATTCCCTAGTGTCTCCTTGAGTTCCACTTGAGAATTTGCACATAAGGTCAGGGCATGTGATGAACAATTTTAACTCCCAAAACCATATTCAGGGACTCACCCTTATATCTCGAATCCCAATTCTCTAGAAAACTGACCAAAGAATTAATTCACATATCATTATAGATTATATCACACCTGTGACTCCATGATTTTCAGAAGAGGCTAATAATGAAATCTGAAGTCAGAAGAGATTGCAAATAAAATTATACAATGGAAAAAGTTTGTCTTTGAGAAGCTACCACATTCTCTTCAGTTCGTTTTTCCCCCACTCCTCGTCATTTCTCGGGAGAATCCCGTTATCAGGTTAGCTCCAGGTGCCCACCTTGGCCTGTCCTCCCTGGGAAACACCCTGACTCTTAGAACCCTTGATACAAATACTACATTGAATCCCCTAGATACAGGAAAGAAAGTAATATCCAACAAAACCAACTAATAGGGGTTTATTGTGCCCTATCAGAAAGAGCAAAGCTTTAAGCACTGGGAATGGGTCACTCAGGGAGACTTTCTGGCGCTAGAGCAGAAAGAGGCGGCAGGAGGCATTTGTGAATAGAAAGACTTTCTGGTGTTTAGGAATAAAGCATATAATACAGTTATATGAAAAAAGCAACACAAAAACTATCCTCCCAATGAGTCTTCTGCTAAGCTGTATTCTTCCATTGTCATTGGCTTCTTGGGGTGCCCCCAAAAGAAAGGGCCCTACTTTCCATGAGGGCTCTATTAAAAGTTGAGTTTCTTAGTACAAAAGATTAAAGTGGTGAGCAACAGAAATGCTAAATATACTTTAAATATAAATCCTTTACTTCTAATATAAATTCATTATTTTCTAGTTCATTTACTCTATAAATACGTAAATGCCTGCTTTTCCCGAGGCTTTGTGCTAGACAGTGGTGATACAGCAGTTAGGTTTATAAATTGCTTCCTGAAGATCATTTTCTAATATTCATAATCCTTTCTTCGTTTAGAGAAGTTGATGGATCCTCATTTCTCTTCACTCCTTAGCACATTCTTTTTTAGGTGAAATGAGCTGTCTTTTTACACCAAATAAAATTACTTTAATGTAGTGAAAACATAAGCTATAAGATTTTTAAAAATTCTATGTTAAAGATCACAGTTTTGTCATAGAGCAGCTATATGATGCTAAGCAGGTCATTTAGCCTTTCAGGGCTTATTATCCTCAAGTATTAAATATTGAGAATAACGTTACTCTCAAGGAGACGCTGAAAGTGTTTTTTAAACAATTATGTAGGTGTGAAATATTTAATCAATTGTAATGACTAAACATATGTAAATGTTCTTAATAATGTATTATTTCAGATCAGAATCAGTAATTATTTTCTGATAATTTTACATACTCAAAGATGGTGTGATCTGAGTCATGCAAGAATGGCTTTCCAAAAAGATGTCACATATAGACCAATTTTTTATTTCTTGTAATATTTGAAAGCAAGTTAATACATGAAGATAAGGTTGTGCAAGGTGACCCTCAGGTCCCTCCTATTAAAATTCTATTAAATAAATCTTTCTCCAACACTTCTAGTAAAGTTAATAAGAGTATAGCTTACAGAGGCCACCAAACTCTACTAGTAAAGGATAACATCTTTCACAACCTTTCCAAAATGGCCATTCTGTTTGTCCTACCACCATAATCTAGATTGGATAAATAACAGTTAATGTGAAAACAAATGCTGGTGCATAGTCTTCAGAAGGATACTTACAAAATACTTCACTTACCTAAGATAAAATTGAAAGTGTGAAAATATCCTATAATCTATAGTCATCAATGCTTGGAAATAATTTAGTTGTTACTTTCACGTCTCCTAAGAAAACAGACCTGGTTCTGAGAGATGAATCATAAAAGTTACTTTTAAATAAGAAGGAAATAGACCCAAGATGTTTCTAGCCAGGATGAGCTGTTTTTAAAGAGGTGAGATAGGCCTGGATGTTGTATCCTAATATAGCTTCCAAGTAGCTGGGAGAGTATGTACTTGGGTCAGTCAGGAATCTGGAAGAGACAAAAGAGTAGATAAAAAAGAAGAAATGCTAAAACAAAATCCCCTGTTTCACAATTTTCCAAAGAATTTAAGCTAACCGCAGCTATATTGCTTCTGTTTTCAATAACAGTAAACTAGGTGATCACAAATCATGTTCAGAAACTTCTAGAAATTAAAACTAAGCATATATTATTAAAGATCACATGAAGAAGATTTTTCCTAGTCTCCATTGCAACTTCAAGTATAGGATACTTATCCACATATACTAGGAAAACACTTCTTTCAACCTAACCTCATATGATAGGTCCAGAAGTATGAATAAAATTCTTCAGATATTTAAACATTGTTCTCAAGGGGAAACCTCACCAACTTAATCTACAACAACTTCATAAGTTTTCTTTTAGAAATTAGCAAGAATATTTTTAGAAAGTATTACCAATTATAGTGGTTGTTATATGATTTGGGGTCTGTAAGGACACTGAGGTATCAGGAATACCACATTCTTTTATCAAATTATGTTTAGGGAATATACAGACATTTTCCTTCCTTCCTCTCACTTCTCCTTGATTCTAGTGTAAATAAAATTTTCCCTGATTCTCGGAGCTAGGTCATGTATGATCATCAGATAATTGAATCAAATATTTTGTGCAATAACAATATAATGAATTTACTATAATAGTAATGAGTCTAAAAGATAACAATCAGATATGGGGTATCCTCTTTTTTTCCCACAAGTAGAATATATATTCAGAAGGACATTTTCATTTTCATAAGTTATTTATATTAGGTTTTTTGTGAATTGGCAAAGACCATTCTAAATTATAAACTTTAAAGTAGCCTAAAGTCAAAATCAATGATATGTCCGAAGACACGATGGACTATAAGAGAAGTATTAGCCTGTGTTATAGAAAATATCTGTTCTCATTTTACCTCTCACTAAATAACTTTATAATTTTAGACAAATCACATACCCTTCAATGGGTTTCATTTCTGTTCAAGAAAAGGGAAGAATTTTCCTCCCTAATCTCTGCTATTTTATAGCTCTCTGGCTATTAAAAGGATGATTCAAAAAAACAAAAGCAAGTCAATTCAGTGATAAAAGTAATTACAAAAAGTTGCATTGAAATAAAAGCATATTCAATCAAAAGAGTAAACCCTTCTTATTTTAGCAAATCCCATCATTCCTTCTCAGAGAGTAAGGTATTTGAACAATAATTAATAAGCAAAATGGACATAGAATACTTAAAGATTGATTGAAAGGGTGGAGGATAACTGTGTCTCTCTGTTCTCTGTTTTAACTGAATTAGGAGACTGAAGAAAAACAGCACTCTTCTTGCCTAGCCTTATAATATCTGAACCTACCAGGAGAAAGAAAATTCTTCAGGATCCATTGGATGGGGAGCAAATGTAGGGAACTCATGTGTTCCCTGACTTCAGCCTTTACGATTTATACTTAAAAGTATCATTGTCCTTAGCACATAGATATAAGAAAAGCCATCATAGTGGTTAGAAGTTAATTAGTGATTTGACGTCATTGGATTGTAGTGACCGAGAGACCCAGAGGAGAGTCTCGATAGCAGAAATCACCTTCATTGGGGCTAAT